ACATAGTGCATAATTCGAGTGTGCATGCATACTATTTCAAACATTTCGATCTGATAAATGACAAGAACGCTCCCGCTTTCGGTTTGCTGTCATAACCTTCATAACTCCAACCAACCAGCGGCAATCTTTTGGACCCTAACCTGGAGGACTAGGGACAAATACTATACCTAATAACTGCATTTCCTCATACCTAGTTTCCACGTCATCTTTTTCTTCCGACAAGGAGCCCCAATTGCAAATAAGGGACGGGACGGTAGACGATCGCTGGGAATACGTACTACACATACGAATCAACGAANCCTACTAATCTGGATTCGAATGTGATCACGAATTCTCCACCGATTCATTACCAAATACACTATGGCTTACCGATTTACATGCTCACTCCATCTAGTCCGCGCTAAACAGCATCGCCGGAGGAAGGCTTCTAGACGACGAATGTCCCTTCTTCCTCTACCCTATCTTCATTTGCCAAGCCAGTACCTAAGTAGAAGGAAAAATCCACCATAGCTAATTTTGATCATCCATCAGATAAACGATACCCAATTTTGTGGTATAACTTTGCATTCTGAAGGTGCAAAGCGTATTGCAAACGGAGTTACAGAAATTGAATCTGTCAGGAACGCTTTGCGCATCCTCCATACATTACAACAGACAAAAAATGTCGCCAACGTACTCCAAATCGTAAGGCCTCCCTCCAGCTGTCAATACACATTTTGGAGATCACTCAGTGCGTTCATCAATATTTCTTTTACGACGAAACTGAACAGGAGTAGCGAAATAGGGCACTCTTGAAGAACACCTTTGGTTTCAAACGATTTACTTAGCTCATCGCTACCCTAAGTACGCGGGTAAAGTGATCGCAGTAGGTTTACATACTTCTCCAACGTTCCGCTGCGAAGTAACGCAGCCATTAGGGATTCACGGTCAACTGAATCGAAGGTCCCTTTTAGGTCAAGGAACACTGAGATTGCCGGTCGACGATGTGTGGCTTAAATGGAAGATCTAAGGTAGAGTGAAAAATCTGGTCGACGCGACCGCGACCTGACCCAAATCCTACTTGATACTCGTTCATTTTTTCAAGGGTGTCAGGCGAGGAAGTATGATAGGAGTCAACACATTTGCGATGATCGGAAGTTAAATTATCGCGAGCTGTTAGCAGTCTGTAATACTCCTCTGAATATCTGGTTTATCAACGATTTACCATCTAATAAGGGAATGAGATCTTCGGAGTAAGTTAGTCTTCAAGTCGACGAGTTACTTCACATTGCCAGCTCAAAAAGAATGGGGAGAAGACTACCAGAACCCTTTGCTTTACCCTCGTCAAAGATTGAATACGGTTTCTTACTCCAGTATGAGTGCCACATGTTACCGCCCACGGAATTTCCGCTGCAATCGGTGGAATAAGTACAGTAGCACAAGACCACTGGAAGTTTTCTAAAATACTCTGCCTGGTGACCAAGTACTTATTCTTTATTGCGGATACCGTTCATTTTTATCGCGAGTGGTTTCACTGACCAGCGACCGACAATCTCCGGGTCTTCGAATCAGGTGACAGGTCTTGGACTATTCCTAGATGCAGATGCCCCGAGCAGTATTCGTGATTTCTCCGAAGGGGGTTTCCAAAGATGTCGTGGCAGACGCCATCGATCACTATGCCGATCTTTGCAGACTGAGATCTTACGCTACCGGTTCATCAGGATTACTAAGTCCTGAGAAAAAAAGATATCTTCGACAAACTTTCGGCTCCAGTACACATGCAATTCCTGTTGCATCGCAAATCCAAATCGATCACTATCGGTTTTCTCCACCATGTGGGCTCTTCACAGCGCGCGCAAAAAGATGGATCGCGCAGACAATGAGCTTACTGAGAAAGCGCTCTTTGTCGATGGGCGATGAGTCCGAAGCGTATCAGAACTAGTGCATGATCCGACTTAACGCAGGTTGTCCTGTGCTCACGAACGCCCATGTACGGTCGGGGGTGTGTCTAGAGTTGCGGCTGATTACCCTTCCCTTGCACCTCCCTTGCTCTCATACGACCAAGCTTTTCAAATAGCCTCTGCTAAGGAAGCACTACTCACTGCCTTCTCGTGGTAGAGGTTTTTCCACCAAAGTGAGAGGACGAATAACCGACATTCGGGGTATGCCCGAGTTGGCGGACCACTGGTAGTTCACCTAGGGGAGTTGGCCAAAAACTCTGATTCCGAACCAACCAAGAGGAGGCGCACGAACCACACTCATCCACATCCTCCTCGGTGTGGCAGTGGTCAACGGCTCGATTGGATGTCAAAGTGTATTCCGCACCTTGGACGTTTGACCCCGTCCAAAGGGTGAATGATTCGGTTAACTGGACACCGGCCCCCAACGGATTGCGGTTTTCACACACCGCCCCTCTGCTTTGTGGGTCAAGCATTGCCTAGCCAAAGGCTCCGGTTGTGGATTCCTCAAGAAAATTCACCTGCCTTGGCCCGGGCAACCTGGCAGTATTCCGCCCACATGCAAATGATAGAACGCTTTTCTTTTTTACAAAGAATATTGTACCATGATTTGTTTGGCCTACGGTCTGGATTCTGACGTGTGAAAATATATTAATATATACGTTGTCCAGTAGGATGTAATTTTGTACTGAACCATGTTAATGGCTGCTCACGGTTAAGGTCGATTTAGGTCAACTTTCCCGATGAAATAGAACGCCGTTTTGCCGTTAGACGACAGCTGTGTTGATTGTTGATGCTTGGTAAGATGTTCTACGCGGAATCCAAGTGGTCGATCGTTGTTGTCTGTCAGCAGGATGGTNGTAGGGTTTAGTTACGCTCAGACTTTTGCACCCACGCGTTAATATTGTCCCCAAGCGCTATTTCAGAGCTACGGGTTAACCGGATGAGTTCGGTGAGTTTAACGTGAAATTAGACACTCCCAAACTAACATTCACCAGATCCCCAACACCTTGGTTTCAATCTTCACATGGTGTAGTAACAGCAGAAAGGAGTTCGGTTTTATCGCCCAGCCCTTGATATATGCCAGACTGTCGTCCATTAGTCACATTCGCCTCTGTGATCTATCGTCCATCTGGTGGTTTCATTATTAAATAGAAATAGAGAATATTGCGAAACTTTAGCGAAAGGTTAGATGCATATGAACTGAACAGCTTCAGGTCGATTACCGTTGATGACTCAACCAGCAGCTATTGGGCAAGCAAAGGGGCAATTTCATTCTTATATTCAAACTAGCGCACGCGACATCAGAAAATTTCCCACTGATTCTGAACGCGATAATGACAGAGCATCCGAACAGACACGTTCGTCGTTATTACAGCAAACCGCATGTCGGACGAGATAAACGAGAAGAACGTTTCACAAGGTGCTCAAATTCCCTTCATATTGCAACGTTAGTAGCCAAGTGAAACGAACTCCATGTTCATAAACATAGTTCGGGGGTTAAAAGCTACCCTTAAACAAGACCGACATGAGTAGAAATCTCTGATCATTAGAGCTTTTGAGGAAGGGACTCCCCTAAGAATTCTTCGCACATCGAAGTGTCATTTCATCCTCCGTGTTGTTCTGCTGGGTGTCGTAAACAATGGCGTTCGTGCATCTTCACAATTCCTCGGCTTCATTAGTCTACTGAACTTTCCAATTCTCTCTTCGATCCTACCTTCAACCTTTCTGCTTTCCTTTTATTTTTCACCCAATTGGCAGCCAAAACACCAAACAAAAGCGTCGCACGGAAATGCATGCCTAATGCTTGTTTAAACTGAACTGAACGAGTTTTTCTTGTGGTACATTCAATTCTGCATTTAAGTACACAGGAAACCTCTCATCCTATCAATCCCGTCGACCCTCTGAGAGGGTACTAAGGGAACTTCATGTTATATTTCAATAAGTTATCCTTCGTAACCGATGATCAAACAATTATCACTGCCTGTTGGTTGGTTGATCAAGCTTTTTTCAACCAAAATATCAATTTTTGTGCTTGCATGGACAATGCAACATAATAGTATATATGGGTTAGCCCCAACAATAGGAAGAAAACTGTGATATTTGGTTAGATTCGTTACTTGGACTAACGACAAAGCGATAAAGCGTCCAGAAAATATACTACCGTGAGGCAACGGATTATCGGTTTATGATCAAAGGATGCACTAAAAATCGACTTGTAACTTACACATGATGTCTGATATAATCCGATTTAGACACAAATTTCAGGAACTTGGTACGATTCACATTGCGGGGTACAAAGAAGAACCGTCCTTCCACAATGATCACATCATCTGGTTTCCCGGATGGTTTTTCACCTGTGTCTTCATGATTTGCTTCCTCCGATCGGCGAACTCCGCTTTCGATTACTTCGCCTGCTTCCATTTTGCTTAGCGCAGCACGAATAGATGCTGCAACTGCAGGGTGCTCCTTCAAGCTTGGTGGGAATATTACATTCTGCCACCCGTGCTCATTGACGAAAGCTATGACCTTGTCTACGTCTACTACCTCCACCTGCACTTCGCTTACATTCAATCCTTTGAATGACGGCAAATCACCAGTACCGCGTGGTAATGTGTGGGGCAAGACTGTCGACGTTAGACTCAGATCATTTAAAATTGGCTGTGAGCCATCCACACTTCCGACGGAGGGTCCCGGTTGAGGGGTGGGTACTGGAATTAGCGCCGGATTGGCCACAGAAATCGGAGCAACATTCGTTTGAACAGTATGGTGCGAGCCCGAGGATGCCGTCAGCTGCAAGTTAGGCCCCCAAAGAGCGGTACCGACAGCGGGTGTGCCTGGGATGTAATACGTGACTACAACGAAAAATGTTGGGTTATCATAAACTGAGTCATCATTTGAAGACGACGAGATCGTTAAATAAGAGAAATTGCTAAATTAAGATCGAACAAATCAAATTTGTACAACTTAAATGAACACGGTTAATAAGACACGTAATTGAACTGTCCCCCTTTGCATTACCCAAAAAAAGACTGGATAGATGTTCGAGATTTGGGACCCAACAGTCAGCAGAACGCTCCCAAGAGTTTGACACAATAAAACCAAGGGTGATCATTTGATTCCCGTACTCACATTTATCATACCTGACATGAATTAGGTGTTGCCACTTATTCTGCATATTTACATACGACCACCTCTGCAAGCCTCGGAATGGCCGAGGCTAGGTCTCTAGGGTTGTGGCTGGGCCCCCTTCCGTGACACCGCGAAATGCTCTGGTAAAACCAGGTGTCTAGAACAGCTTCTAACTCACCTTCCCTTTCACCGACCGACTCTTGCGAGCGTGTACTAAAATGTAATCAATCTAATTTGTCGTTCTACCGTCATTCGAGTACCAAACTATTGGTTTTTTGGGGTACTGGAAACGGGTGTTGGCCACTGCAGACCGATTGAGGTCAGCAAATGTAACTAGGCATTAGTGGTTTTCGTGACTTCGATCAACTCCGAACTTCTCCAGGACATGCCGACTATGCTCGTCTCATGGACCAGTGTGCACGAACCTCTATTTCTTGGTTGTGGCGGTGGTCACCGGCTCAGTTGGGCATCAAGTTGTTTTGGGCACCTTGGACAGTTGACCCTGTCCAAAGGGCGTATGATTCGATGAAGTGCACACTAACCTCCAATGGATAGCGGCTTTCTCACAATCCCGCTTGCGGGTCAGGTTTTGGCTAACTGCATGCTCCGTTTGTGAATTCCCCAAGAAAATTCACTTGTTTTAGATTGGGCAACCTAGCAGTATCGCAGGCAGATTTATATAAATACCATAATGCTGTGATTTGTTTGGCAGTCTAAACCCAGCCGTGTGAAACATAAACCATACGCAACTGATGCTCACATAGCTGTAAAGACGCCATCCAAGCGGCAGTGGATTGATCGTGTAACACTAGTAACTCTCCTGTGGTGACAATCTCATTACACAAGATACAAAGAATCGTCGCCGGTTGGAGACATCTCGAGTGTACTGCCAAGACCGCAGAGTCGAATAATCCTAGGTACTTCACTTAGCTCCAGAGTGCGTCTGTGCACGCCAGCATGTATACATGACAGGACCAGAATTATTGTGATTTCAGATCAAAGATGGATAGTTACGAGCTTAAATACAAAGCATTGATCTCGTGCGGTTGTGCTGTATGACAGGTGCAATCATCGCTACTCAGATGAGCGGTGTAGTTAGTCCTTGTTAGTTTTAATGCTTCTGTGCGGATTCGGTGGTCAAAGGCATACTTAACGCATAGAACATCTCTGCACCACTATTTCGCTACAGCACAGCCGTTAATAATTCCAACATACTTCACCGTGAAAAAGTCAACTGCTGCGCTCTAGTTCGTCTAACCAAAGAAGCCAAGAGTCATGAGCCAACATCTGACAAAGGATATAAATTGCTTGTTTTGAATCTAGTGGCATTCGCGAGAGGTCTCAGAGGGACTTGGCTTCAACTGTCCCCACTTGCATTAGTACTTAGGAATTACTTTTGTGCCACGCTGCACACGTAATGGATGATTAATCGATCAACCGAAGCAAGTAATCATGCTCCGGTGTGAAAATTGATGAGAAACGTGATATTCTTAAAGAGAGCCTCGACCAAATCCTTTACCTCCGTATTATCCTCAACCTCATTTTTGATGTCACTTCACCCACACATGTGTACCGTTGGTAGATGGGAGATTTCTCATAATGATGGGATCTTTCGTCTACCACACCTAGATGTGATGAACAGACGGGGTGGCGAGGACCTGCTGTTCGGTGATGGAATTCGGACTTGGAATGGTGAACCACATAAGGCCTATCTAGGTTAGGAATGGTGTTGAACCGGACAACAGTAAAGCTATCAGCCACGAAAGTCGGGGGGGCGGGGCCCGAACCTCGAACCATAGGGTTCGAAGCAGGGCAGTTCCAGCGACTAAACCACTGCACCACCACCATCTGAGAAAGTTTCGTTGTCCACTCGTAGGTGTAAGCCAAATGACAGGACAGAGATCTAGCGAACCCAAAAAAATCATCGTATCCACAAGCTCGAAAACCAATACGAACTTCACATGATCCTAGAACTGTGGTTAAACTGCATTTACATACATACCTAACCAGTCATGCAAAAGGACAGGGAATTTAATAGACCGCATTTATTCTCGTGCTTGAACCATGGTTCGCGAATTACGAAAGGATGCAATTTCTTACAATGGAGGTAAAGTGCTCCCGAACCAGCGCCGGCGCTGTTACTAGAGCACGCATTACGTCTTACTAACCAATAATTTAGTGTTTTCTCACGTGAAACCTTACACCTTTCGGAAGATGCAGATCAACAGGACGGAATAATTCGAACGAACTCAAGGCTTCAAAATCGCTACCTGATGAAAATCAGAAATTGCAAACCAATTTAAAAAAAGACCCGGGATATGAGACCCTTGGAGATGGCGCAAGAAAGGCTAACCCATATTTGAGGATCGGTTGTTCTCACATGAGAATCGGCAACCGTCCGGGGAATGCCAAGCTGAGGGGGAACTGGTTTAGGTGGTGCACAGCTGAGCAACAGTGAAGCCGATGACAACCAAATTTGGCCGTTGTAGCGGGTTTAGAACCATCAATCCCGGGACCTAAGCACGCCGGCAAAAGAGACCCACGCTGCTTGACCACCAACACCATCTTCATGGAGGTGAAGTACTAAAATCTCACTGCCAGTAATGCTGTGGTTCACGGAGTTGCGGGAATCTGAGACTACCTAGGCAGTTGACCATGAACAGGTGGGCGCTGCTCTGCTTATAAGGGACCGCGAACGATCGGTGGCAAACATTAAGGGCATATCTGGTATGTGATCTCACTACAAAACCAACGAATGTTCGGGACACGTGGAACTGGCTCGATACTAAATGAAACCGCTACCAGCAGGTAGCATTCGGAGAGGGAAGAAGCACATTCTCGGGGAAAAACGTGGGAATCGGGGTGCAACTTCGTGTTACACTCCCAAGACCAGCCTTGATCTTACCGGGATGTCAGGCAAACCTCAAAGATGCATGAAAATAAAGGCTGCAGACGGAATGAGTGACATTGGGCTGAGCGATGTCAAAACGTACATGTGGTGCTTAGAAATAGCCTAGATAAACCGAAATCGGATGAATGCAGGGGTTTCCAGTGATACAACTTTTCAAGCAACTGTTTGCCGAAGCCAATGTTTTTAAAACCACGCGGTCAAATATATATGCATTATAAAAAGACCGTCGGCATACCGGTTCTTGCATCTAACATCATCATCATCGTACAGCGAAATACCGTGAAGCGAACTTCACTGACCGCTGCCAAACTCGCAATGCATACAAGGTTAGTGGTAAAGTTGAAGGCGGACAGGAGTTGGATCTATTTTGAGGAAGGGAGGAGATGAGCCACTGTTGTCACACAGTACGCAATCGAACTCTGCATACATACCGTTTCAAGCATTCTGACCTGAAAAGAAACGACAACAAGAACGCCATTGCTGCCGGTTCGCTGCCATATCCTTCAGTGTCTCCAACCAAACAGTTGTGGAGTCNGGAAGGCGAGATTCATCTAACACGTTTCCGACATCTCAGACTACGCCAGTTACAACTGATGAAATTGCACGACCAGTCATTCTTAGTTGAGCAGTCCTGATTATTAGCCAGGGTGGAGGTGGAGACGACTTATTGATGTGGTGTTCACATTTCTACTCACATGATAATCGATACCGTTTCGTTCCAGATACTGAGCCCAATTTGCAGAGTAGTCATGACCACCGATAATTTTACTCGACTGGAATGGAAATTCGAGTTATTCGATCTAAAGACATCTACGCATCGTAATAGACTGATCCGAGTATGTAACTTTATGGCTCTTCCCAAGACGTAATGAAACGTACTCCAAGATTTTCACTGCATTGCTGTTAGAAACAGTACTGAAGTAATTGAGGCAAGGAAGGATCAACGTGCTACCAACACCACAATTCCTCACCCGCAATTAGTGCCACACTGCTGCATCAATACGATACCATTGCCAAGCGGATAGCTGTTCCTGGAAGATCATTCAGGGTTGTGGATTTGCAGCGATATTTGCCAACCGGCGACACCTGTCATCATCATCATTGTACAGTACAATACAGTGAAGCGAAATTCACTGATGGCTGCCAAACTCAATGAATACAAGATAAGTGAGAATGTGTAAGGAGAACAGGGATTGGGCCTATTTTAAGGACGGGAAAAGAAACCGAACTTCTATATTCAACACAGGTTCGCTTTATTTCCCGTCCCTAAATAAATAATAATAATAATAAATAGGCCCAATCCCTGTCCTTACACATTCTCACTTATAGATACCTGTGGTGCAGCCATCCCTCAGGGGGTGTACAAAGCCACTGGTTTTAGTATTTTGTTTTACAGTTGCGAGTCTTTTAGAACTGACAATTTCTGCTCGGATAGCAGGAATATCGCATGAGCAACGACAGGGCTCGCCGTGGGTTGGGTACTGACACTAGCACTCAAAAGTCAGACAGACAGCCTCTCATGCTTTGCATAATCCTGTCCATTATCTGCGTTCTCTTTGCACGTGCTGACCTGGAGTACATGCGTGAAGTTAGCCTCAGCATTGGATACGGCTGTTGCAGATCACCTCCCATGCTGGGGCTCAAGGGATGAATATTGGCGATGACCAGATACACTGAGGTATGGTTCAGGATAGAAGTCCGTGGCACCATTGTTGTGTAGTTCGTTGGCAGAAGTTCGGTCCCTCATTGTTTTTCACACACGTCTTAATCCGATCCCTTACGATAGGTAAAAACTCGAAGTGTATGGTGAAACTGAAAAAATTCGTCTGTTTTCTCTTGTCAGTTCCTTCCCTTTGTCTTACTTATATACCTAAAGCCACCATTTATATTTTGTTGGGACGGTACTACGCTCGTCCTCGAGCACGTTAAATACCTACAAATAAGCATTCAAATTTATACATACATATAAGCTCCGGGAACTGATCAGCTTCTGTGACTACTAATTTTGCATCTGAAAGCCGGGGCTAGTTGTCACGGGCTGTGATCAACCTTTCCTTACACCACAAATGCTTCTTTACGGTCGAGCGTCTCAAACAGCCTCCTCTGAGCCTGAGGAATCCTTGTCGTGGTAGTGTTTTTGCACCGAAGTGAAAGGACAAAAAGCCAACATCCGGGACTATAACCGGGTCGGTGCCACTGGCAGTGCACCTAAGGGAGTTAGTTGAAAACCGTGTCCTAAAAAATCAAGAGCGGCCTGAAACACTCACCCACACCTTTGGTCACCGGCTCAGTTGGGTGTCAAGATTGATTGAGCACCTTGGATATTTGTCCCCGTATAAAGGACGTGATCCTATTAACTGAACACAAACCTTCAACGGACCACTGTTTTCACACTGCCCAGCTTTATGGGTCAGATTCTGGCTCACCGAAGGTTCCGGTTGCGAATTCTCCACGAAAATTCACCTGTATTAGACTGGGAAACCTGGCAGACTCCCGCCCGCATGCAGATCATGGAATTACCACGTAGGTTACTGTACAGAGATTCGTTTGACAGTCCACCGTCAGATATGCGTGAAATGCTACACAAACATTGACTTTGCCCGTATGATTTGGGAACACCGCAGCGGTATAGTCAGGACCCGCCACCACCCGAGTCAGATACTAGTCAAGACAGAAACGGAGTCACCTTGCGCTTGTCAGTTGACTGATGGACTTCCAGTACTTGGGGGACTAGCGAAACCAATTTACACGAAGATTCAGTCAAGTATACATAACACTCCCATCGAATTTCCGGAGTTGAACTACTATAAGTCGCTTAATGCCTTAATAAGGGCGCCGCTACAACTACGAGCATTCGAGTGCAGACGGGCTATGAAACTGGTTGTCGATAATGCAATTGGGGTCTCATCTACACACGCGCGATGCACAAGCACGTCATTGTCAAAAGCTGTGGAGACGAACACCCGATAGACTAACTGTGTTAAGTACTTCGACACTGAGATATGAACTTACTTGGAGCGACCGGCTGGTACTGAACTAGTGGTTGGATGGCGGTGGATACCAATGGATGCGTCGCTGAGGGTGTTTCAGGCTCGGACACGTAAGCAGCTTGATGTTGACGCATGTAGCAACGTCTGGCACGCCCAACAGGTCCTGCCTCGTAGACCCCTGTTGTCGATGGTTGAGTGGACACAGCCTGAGGTGCCGACATGCGGTCACGATATGAGCGTTTGATCTGACTGGACTGAGTTACCACGGACCTGACAGGTAACGACGTATCTGTGAATGGAGACAGTGTTCCAGTGCTTGGAGGCACAGGGCCCGAGACGGACGTTTCTTCATTCGCAATGCATTGGCCTTGGTCATCCGGAGCTGGATCCGTAGGAGACACTTTGTGACGATTTTCTTGATGTGAAGTAACGGTCTCTGCATCCATCGTAGTAGTAACTGCGATCTTTTCATCGCGAGGTTCCACAGGATTGCGCAAACCGGGGGCTCGAAACGGATTCCTCGCATATAAACCGTTTGCGCCACGAGGTCGAACTGCATCTGAACCACGTCCCCGAAAACTGGGGCCACCTAGCAAAAAGTTTAGGACAAAAACAGAAACCAACCTCTGCGGAAGGTATAATGTGGGGCGCTCAGGGATGGACCCATGTAACTACCACGGCCACGAATGGCAAAAGTTGCGTTACCAACCTCGTAATTCTGCCATTTGATTTTTTCTGTAACTAATATTATACATAGAAAACACACAGCTACTTTTAGGCTTTTCGTCAGGTTGACGAGCACCGGATGGCCGTCTCTGTTCGCTGGGTGCTGACGGCGCAGGCCATGCATCGGCTTCGAGTGTGTTGTTCTCTGCAGAAGGAACTGTACTATTCCGTCAGAACACGGCCCGACTTACTCAGCTTCCAAGGATTATTCTTCCCCTTCTCCTCTTCGCCATTGGTGCGGGAGAAACCCGGCGATTCTTCCTCAACTTTATCCGAACGAACACTGAGTTGTGCGAACTTAGGCGCCAAATTGTCGCTCATTGGTGCGGTACTGAAACCAGCTGGTGGGACCAACAAATTAAAGAACGGTATACGAATGAATTTTCAGCAATTAAGACTCAGAATTACTCAGAAGTGGTGAAAAGAAGGGGCAAACCAGATACCCGTGAGGTAAACAACACAACTCACCAGGCCGCCCTAATCAAAACTTAGTGCTTGGAAAGGAAGGTCAACAAGAAAAACAAAAGTAGTCCGATACATGTACGTGTACGCTGCAGAGCATATTGCAAAACAATTGTTTCTGTTGATAATAGTAATTCTAAACGAAATCAGTTTCGTCTGCGTTACTTTTACATGTATTCCTTCGTACCACATCTGTGCTCATAATGTCGTGTAACATTAGTCTAAGCCGGATCAAAAACTCATTTCAGTCCACTTCTGTTCCAGAACGTCGATGGTGGTCACTAGTTAGTCCAGTTTCTTGCAGCAGTGAGCTGATGGGCGGGATGAGGGTATGGAACGACGCAGGATGAATAAAAGATAATACCAATGAATGGGGAGGGAAACAGTGAAGTGAAAACAAATCGAAGAGTGGTCTGGGTAGGAGGAGGGCGTGAAGCTGCCGGACAATCACGTTGCTCAGGCGGTTTCTGAGATGAAAAGACCTGGCAGTCCAAGTGGGTATTAAAACCCTTCACCGAATTGGAACTGACTGCTTCATTGGGTAGTCTGTTCTAGACGTTCACCACCCTTGTGGCAAACGTTTGATACCTTATTTGGGTGGATCCCCCGACCTAAACTAACTTGGGGTTATTTCCCCATAGGGAAGGGTTCTCGTCGGGGAGGAAGTAGTGGTCTCTCTCCTTCCCCAATGTCATTGGAACCGTTTCGGAGTTTTAACAGCACTATCAGATCCCCCTTCCCCTTCTCCTCTCCAGGGAGCAAAGCCTGTGGTGACACTGATAGATCACTCATGTGTTGCGTCACGTTCTTGTTTTACTGAACGTTGACGCGCATTGCTTCCACACAATTCGACCATGGTCGTTCAACGCACCGTGCGACGCCACAGTATTTTACGTTTAAGTACAGTACTTTGGTCCAGGTCTCGCAGTCTGCCTTCCATTCTTTTTACGTTAGCCGTTGAGATTGTAGCGTTTCTTCAACCGACAGTTTCTCAACGGCAGGTTTCTTTTCTTGCCTCTTGTTCTTCTCCAAGTTTCCTGATAGATCCATTCAAGCTGGTGGTGAT